TATAATTAAGATAAACCAGCAAGCCAACATAAATCTCTTGTTTGGGATAGAGCCACCCGGTATACTGTGCCTCAAGAAAAATATGCGAGACAACCAAAACCCATATGCAGACCATACAAAGCAAAGTGCCGCCTTAGGTGGAGATATGGACAAAAGAGACCTGCATCTGTAATAATTGTTGATGCTACATTCTCGCTTTAATCAGCCTTGATCGTAAAAATTTGACTTTGATGAATTTATGGTCTGGCAGACAAGAAGTGTTGCACTTCTTTTAATTTAATCCAAAAACTTCACAAGAATATCTATTACACTAGTGTACAAGATTTTCTTGAAATCATTATCTATAACAGACAGTCTCATCATCCCATATAACTTCAGGAAAGCGATATTTAGATTTGTCCAGCAATGCGTTAGATGCTGGTTCATGAGGAGTTGGAAAGAGAGGAGTTGAAGGAATTGACAATAAATTTATGAAATAAGATTTAGATCAGATGCATTAGAAATTGGATTATTGCCAAAATTCATTGGAAGTCTAATTTACAAGCATTAGTTCCAATACGCCACAAGAGTTTAAACAACTTTGTTTTTCTTGAATTTAATTTTGTAAGATTTCTGAAGGAAGCATTTCTGAATTTTGACACATTTTTTGTTCTATCGCTTGGTTTAAGTTTTGCGTACCTACTACTTACAATAGCTAAGAGCTTACAACTGCTATGATTAACAGTTAATGTTTTGCGAATTACCAAAATATCCATGGAAAATTACCTAATATATCTAAGTTTAAATTTGATGTTACATCTTGACCAATGATCACTAACATAAAGATAACTATGGGAAAAATGATATAAAACATGTGTGCATCACTTTACCTGCTAAACAATGTGAGCTTGGCCACTTATATTCTCATGCATATTATATGTTATTGCTAGACACGCCTTAAACTTGTCTGTGAATCGTGAATGATAATTCAACACTTTTCACTCAAAATATTAACATAAATTACTCTGTCTCATCACATGATTCCAATGTTCTTATTGTAAAAACAAGTAAAAAAAAAATGATACGTTACCTAGGTAAATATTTGAAGGTAAATATTTATTGCTTTAGCATGTAATGTTTGTTCAAATTATGCAACTATATGTAGAAGTTTATGTATCATGTAAGAATTTAACTTTAGAATTTCTAAGGAAAGTAAAAATTCTCAAGAAAATTGGGGCCTTTAGAAACATTTCTGACTTTGGTGGTTAGTTTTTTTTTTTTTTCATGAAAAGTATCAAAATGATCCTTTAATTCTTTAGGAAGGATCAAAAGGGACCCCAATTATATTGGTCCCTCAACTCTTTAAATCCTAATGTTAAAAAAAAAAAGTGGCATGGCCGAAGAATGGCGGAAGGTTATATTCGAAATAACAGAAAATAAGCAATATCAACATATACGAACCCAAGAGCCTCACGTTGAAACCCCAACGACGAAAACACATAATTTTTGACCCCCTTCTTCGAAGCCTCAGCAGCTTGGACCTTCAGCTTCGAACATCGACTTCCAACCCTCAGTTGCTTCTTCCCCTTGTCTAGAACTCTCGGCAGCTTCGAACCCTCGCCCATAGCTTTGACCCCCTGCTTCGAACCTTCAGCATCTTCGAACCCCTGCCCGCAGCTTCGATCCCGCAACGACATTGAACCTTATGTTGAAACCTAGCGATGAACTGATGGGATGTCGAACCCTCACCATCAAAATCATCGCACCGCAACCAAGAAGGATACCTTTTCCATGGAGTCAGCATCTTTCAGCTAACTTGCCCAGTCATTCCCTTGAGCAAAGACTTGCGTAATCAAGTTCCTTCGAGCAAAGACTCTCCCAGTTGCAAATATTTTTACCAATAATAATTTATAAAATATATATGACATTTTTAAAATTATAACTAAAAATATGATAGGAAGCACTTGTAGAAATCAAACAACCCTTGTCTGAATTTTAATTCCAGCAATCTCAAACACAATCCACAAGAACTATGGGGATTGACAAGAGAAAACCTTTTTAATTGATGATATATGGAAGAAAAATAAACAAAATACAACGGATCTTCAATTGAAGAGGAAGATCCAGCTCTCCCAAGTCCTTAACCACCAGTTAGAGCCCAATCAACCTAAGAACAATCTAAATTCAGCAAACAAGGCATAATCTTGATCCCAGGGAAATAACCTACTTAAAATAAACAACAAATTTTTAAATCCCCAAACAACCCTTTGATTTTCCCTTCTAACCTCCCCCTTTTCTCCTCTTCAAAATTGCCCTTGGGCCCCACACAAAAGGGCATGCAAACATCCTAGGCAGAAGCTTGTTTTGCCTCAAATATGCTAGAGCCGATCCAGGAAGGACTGGCTGGACCGGTCTAACTATATACCCCCCTCCCAAAGAACCACCTTGTTCGCAAGTGAAAAGACGACTCCTTCCTCAATTTCCTCATCCTTATAAATGGTGAGCACTTAAAGAGTTTGGTCCTTACACTTATACCCTAGTGTATACCTCTCCTCACAACTGAAACACAAACCCATCGTCCTCTTTTCCTGTAACTCAGTTTCTGTGAGCTTCTTGAAGCTTTTCCTAGGTCTACCTCTTATAATCTTTCCCTTTGGAGTCTCCCTAAGAATACCTGGTGCGGCTTCTTCGATGTCAAAAAGGTGGTGGTCATACTGTACGAACCTCTTGAGCTGCTGCCTCTAGCCCCTCTCTCTAGTTGCCTATAATTCTCCATTAATCGGGCTAACTCCATAGTCTCTCCCAAATCACAGGGCCTTATCACTTTAACCGCTACTCGAATCTCTGGTCTGAGCCCTTTCATAAAATGCCCCTCCAGTACAATCTCCAGAAGCAAGACTAGTCGGCTGGTCAGGTGCTCAAACAGCTCACGATACTCTTCTATTGCCCCCTCCATTAGGGCGAAAAACTGCTCATAGAAGTCTCTTCCCCTAATGGTTTGCAAACATTCTAACAAGCATTCCTAAACTTCCGTGTATACATCCACTGGTACCATGCCAATGCTTTTCCCTCCACGAACATCCCGACTGTTGTACCATCTCAGTCTCCGTTAACCTATTGACGGTAAAGTATGTTTCCACCCTGTATATCCACCCATGTGCATCATCTCCTTAAAAAATAGACATCTTTAGCTTCCTCACCCTCGGTTCTTCTCCGTTCCTTCTATTTCCTCTATAATGTCCCATTTCTCAAGGGGGTGGTTCCCTCCAAGTGTCCCAATCATCTCTTCTATGCTCTTACCCAAATCTTTCATCAAAATCTCACATTTATTTTTCAAATTCAGCACCCTTAGATCTTAATTAGCCATTCTCCTTTCAAATTCAGCCCATCTCTTTTCAAATTCAGCACCTTTTCGATCATAATCAGCCCCTCTTGTTTTAAATTTCGCCTCTCTCAAATTCAACACCCCTTCGTTCAAGCCCGACCCCTTCACTTCTCTCCCATACACTCTTTCCGACTCCTCCCTAGGAATAGGCTCTATGGGAGACATTTCTCTCTTCTATCTCCAAAATCTTCACCTCTTGATCTTCACTTCGCCTTATCGAATTATGGTTTTCCCCACTTACTTAGCTGCCAGCGGCTTCCCTCGCCTCTGATGACATCGTCTTGGGTTGGCCATCGAGCTAATTCTTCAACATCTCCTCCATGATGGAAAATTTCCCATCAATCTTCCCATAAACGGCTGAAATTTGACTTTTGAAATCTAAAAATTGAGTTTAGAGATTCGAATTTTTAATTTTAATTGTCTGATCTTCCCCTCTAATACTTCTACCTTTCTTACTGCTAGGGTACCCGAATCTAGCTCCAAACAACAAAAATGGAAAAAATAAAAAACAATGAATTTGGTCGTCAAATTACAAAACTTAGCAATACGGAGGGGAAAAAGTAGCAGAAATCCGCAAGGAAGTCCTATATTTCCGCACAGGACAAGGCTCTGATATCAATTTGATAGGAAGCATTTGCAGAAATAAAAGAACCCTTGGTTGAATTTTAATTCCAACAATCCCAAATACAATCTACAAGAAGAACTATGAGGAATAACAAGAGAAAACCTTTTTAATTGTTGATATATGGAAGAAAAACAAACAATATATATTGTATCTTCAATTGGGGAGGAAGATTTGACTCTCCTAAAACATAAGTCCAACATCCATTAGTTTGGATGGTGGGACCAAAATGACCCCATTTTAAGAGTTGAGGGACTAAAATGATCCCTCAATATAGTTGGGGATCATTTTGATCCTTCCTAAAGATTTAAAAGACCATTTTGATTATTTTCTTTATTTTTTTTCTTTGCATGTTTCTTTTCCGGTCTCTTGTAAGGCATTTCCTGTATAAGACGGGAATCTGATCGAGAGAGACAAGTAATATATGTAGAGATTAACTTAGGGTCCCTCTACCATTATCTGGATGTACCTCATTTATGAAACTTTGATAATTTGTGACAATTGCGAAGCATGATGTTAACTTGAAGAAAAATGATTCATCTGTTCTCATGCAGTTATTTAGTTGTTAGATGCAATCCTTATAAATTATTTTCGTATACTATTTTGTTTTCTTACCGGACATAGGAATTTTGGCAATCATAAAGCACTCAATCTATTGCAACTTGTAAGCCTCTGGATCTCTGTTGATTGATTTAAGTAAGCTTCTCGAGTTTTCCATTCTTGTTGGTAGCATTCACTTGATCCAGAGCTACAACAATTTGTTATTTTATTATGAGTCAAGTCTAAGAGGAAATTTCCATCAACAACATTGTAGGCTGTCCGTGCTTAATATCAGTATATACACCCTTTATTCACGCCCTTATTGCAATTCTTGAACTGTTATTGGTTGTTTAACGATAAAGTATAACAAATAATTTCTAACATTTCAGTTTTATTTCTGATCACTACTCTTGCCGGTAACTTTTATCTCGCTAGTAGATTAGTATATTCTAATTTATGCTTATTTAAAATCAGGATCTTCAGAAGATTTTTCACGTGATTGTCGGGCAGCTTCGTCTTCTGTTTGGTTTTAAATCTGATTACATTCAAGATGATGGTATGGACCAGATTAACATTTTGGCAAGTGAAAAAGGCTTTACAGAATGGTAAGTTTGTTTTCTTTTGGCTGAGAGCTATGTAATATATTGTTCAAATATATTGTTCAAGTGAAACACAACTGTTGCAGTTCTTGGGGGCAGTTTTGAGTTGCATGGTGCTGTCCGTTTGTTCTATTGATTTACCCTATCTTTAGGCTACAGTTATCTGCATATTTTAAGCAGAAAATCCTCTCAAATGAGACACCCATCATATATGAATCATTATGATTTCTCAGACGTGATAAAAAAATGTGTATTAATTTCTAATATCCTCGCAGATAAATTTTTTGTGGTTTGTTCTTGTTAAATTCAGAGAATTGGAGAGGGGAAAAGGCTTAATTTTATTGCACAAACTAATCCATATTTATAGATCTGTGCAAGATATTTTAATAAATAAATAAATAACTACATAATCATGCATAATTGCCCTAATATAATCCTTACTAAATCAGCCACTCAAATATGGAAGGAGATCGGCGTGATCCAGGTGAGCTTCCCACGGATCCCCATGCTGGCTGTGGGGTCAAGAGTCAAGGGATGACTGGGATTTAACACTCCCCCTCCCATGGATCCCTATGTTGGCCATGAGATTGAGGGTCAAGGGACGGCTGAGATTTAATACTCCCCTCAAGATGATGAATATAAATCTGTCATTCTCAACGTGGTAATTAGTCGCAGAAAGGTAGAGTTATTTGGTCCGTTGGTAAGAATGTCTGCAATCTAATCTTTTGATGAGACATGGTAGATACATACAAGACCATTGTCAAATTACTCATTTATAAAATATCTGTCCACTTATATATACTAGGTCCTTTCATGCTGAACCGAATTGTGAGCTATGCTGATTAATGATTTATTGTCACATTGTAGCTTCATGGGTCCTTCCCATTTGATCCGTAGGTCTTCTAGAATCATCTTGATCCATAGTAGTTCACATATTCCTAGGGTCGTAGCTCTGAACTCCGCTTCTGCACTAGACCTTGCCATCACATTATGTATTTTACTACTCCATGTAATAAAGTTTTCTTCAATGAATGTGCAATATTCTGAGGTAGATCGCCTGTCTACTGGTGATCCTATGTAATCTGCATCAATATATACTTCTAGGGTTATTCCACATTCTCTTCTGGAGAGAATCTCTTTTCTTGAATTCTCCTTAAGGTCGTGCAATATTCTGTCTACTGCTTGCATGCGAGTCTACTTGGATTTTGCTTGAATTGACTAACCATGCTTACAACAAAGACTATATATTCTTTGGTGTGGAAAAGGTAGATCACTTTTTTCACAAGTCTCTAGTAAGCTCCCTTATCTACGTCTGGATCCTATTTAGCTTCCCCAATTTGAGATTTAGTTCTACTAGTATTAGTGCTAATTTAGAAGCTACTTTACTTATTTTTTTAAGAAGATCAATAATGTATTTCTGTTGTGAAATGAAGATTCCTTTGCTGGAGTCGGCCACTTTAATTCCATGGAAATATTTCAACCTACCAAGTTCTTTGATATCAAATTCCTTTGCAAAACATTTCCTTAGAGTCACTTTTTCCTTTTCATAATTTCCAGTAAAGATGATATCATACACATAAACTAACAAAATTGTGACTCCCCTTGAGTCTAAGTGTTTGAAGAATAGTGTAGATCCCCTTGGCTCTGTCGATATCCATTGAGTAGCAGAATCTTTCAAACCAAGCTCTAGATTACTACTTCAGCCCATATAGAGCATTTTTTATTCCACACACTATCATCCTCAGACTTTTTCTTGAATCATGGTGGAATCTAGGGGTGTTAATATTGGACCCGACCTAAAAACCCAACCCGAAAATTTCGAGTTTACCCGAACCCGAAATGGGTCGGGTTCGGATTGATCTGTTGACCCAAAAATGACCCAAAAACTCGTTTTGACCCGACAACCCGAGATTGACCTGTTTTAGACCCGAAAAGTGGAGTTTGACCCATTTTTGGACCCGAAAACTAGCAGTTTTTTGTCCGACCCGAGTCATTCGGGTCAGGTCGAGTTGACCCGGACTCGAAGCGGGTCGGGTTCAAGTCCGGAAAACCGCCCCGTTTGTAGAAACAGGTCGGGTTCGGGTTCGACCCGAAACTGACTCGTGACCCGAAATTGACACCTCTAGCGGAATCTCCATAAACATTTCTTCCTTCAAGTCCGCGTATATATGAATGCATTTTTGACATCAACTGTTCCATATGCTAGTTATAATTATACTAGTGAGAGCGGGATCCTCATAGTATTCGTCTTGGCCACATGTGCAAAAGTTTCCTAATAGTCAATATCGTACGTCTAAGTGTACGATTTCGCTACCAATCTTGCCTTATACCTTTCTAGTGTATTATCAACTTTATATTTTATAGAGAAAACCCATTTGTTGTTGACTATTCTTTTCCTACTGGTAGGTTGATGATCTCCTAGGTATTGTTCTTCTCCAGGGCTTGCATTTCATCTTTCATGACGCTTTCTTAATTCTCATCAGATAAGATCTCAGAAATATTGTTAGGAATATTAATAATATTTAGTGTAATCAGGAAATTCTTGTGTGAAGGGGAGAAATTAAGGATACAAAATTAGTTATGGGATACACGAGAGATTTTTTAGGTGAACTTGTATTTACCTCAATTTCAAGAGAGTTTAGACTCTTGGATATGCTCTGGAGTATAGTTTTGATTTTTTACGTATGGAAATATACTTTTTCAAACCTATGTTATCCATAATAGCTTTGGCCACAGTTTTCTTGGCTTTTTTTTTCATGTTTAGGTGGATCGGTTTGAGGTGGAGTTGGAAGGTCAAAGGGTTCAAGCTCACTTTCCTCATCTTCCTCAATTTCAGTCTCCCCCTGAAGATGAGATTTGGTGAAATAGGAGTTTTGTTCATAAAAAATGACGTCAATAGATACAAAGATTTTCTTGGTGTTAGGGTGATAATACCTTATAATCTCTCTGGGTGGATGAATATCCGACAAAGATATATTTGAGTGTTCTTGGATTTAATTTTTCTCTATTTTAGCTGTGAATATGAACATAGTAAGTACACCCAAAGATTATGGGTGCGAGGTTGTTATGGGTTCGAAATTCAGGGTAAAAAGAAGACAAAATATACATTTGTATTTTTAGTCCCAAGATTTTTCAAGGTAGTTGATATATGAGATATGTGGCAGTCATAAGGGCTTTCCCTTGGTAGGATTTGGGTATATTGTGGTTGAATAGAAGTGTCCAATTTCATTTTGTTGTGGGTTTGTAAATGTAGGAAGCTTTATGAATGATATCTACCTTTTGAGAATAAGAGGATAATGTTGGTTAAAATAGTTTTTGGCATTTTCGGAATGAAATTTTCTTATTTTCATCCTGAATTGGTTTTGGATTATGGTGTAAAAAATTGGGAGGGCAGTGATAATATCGAATTTTGTTTTGAAGGAGAAAGATCTAAGAGATTCGAATGCAGTTGTCAATGAAGGGTACAAGCCAAATGTTAGGGATTTTTTAGGGTCCCCAGATACTATGAATAAGGTAGAATGGAGTATGACATCTCTCATTTTTGTTTGGAAAAGAAAATTATTTATGCTTGGCTAACTCACAGGTTTTACAATGGAATGATTAATTTTTCAACTCATAAAAAAATTTCTGAATATATATTTTTTAAGACATCAAAAGATAAATGTCTTAATCTAAAATGATGAAGCTAAATAGTATATTAATTATTAAATTGGGATAACATAGAATAGCCATTATTGATAATAGTGGATTGCTCAACTCTTCTAGGTAGTACAATCTATATTTTTCCTTAGCAAGTCTTTGTATGAAGATTAATTTTGTGGATAATTGAGGTACGTGGAGCATATTTTTTAGAGTGAGAAAGGGAGATGAGGGTGTGTCTTTTTGACTTGCTATTGTGGTAAGTGAGTCATGTGATGATTTTCTTATCACTTGGGTAAAGAGTGTAGTTGATGAAGTGGGCAATGGAGTGTCATGTTATATGTGGCTCTCGAGTCAAAGGATCCATAAACCTTTCAAATGATTTCTAGAGACATTTAATCCGATGGATATACAAAACTGATGTGAAAGTGCAAGTGGAGTAGAAGCAAGTGATTTTTTAAAGGATACTAGGAGTTATTTACTTTATCAATATCTTCTCTATTGAGCTCTCTATAGATGGACTACATTTTTGGATTGGGCTGACTTGTTATAATGTTAGCTCGTGGTATCCACTTTTGGCCACTTCTTTGTTTCCACTCCTTACGTGGGGGCTTTCTATGTAACTTCCAGCAGGTCTCTTTGTATGTCTTGGTTTCTTGCCATAGATGAACAAAAGAGAATCTTTGTCATTAGATTTTGAGGATTTCTTACCACTTTCCTTCCATATCGCCTCTTTAGCTTTCACCATTGTCGAACCATCAGCAACCTTTGGTTACAGCATTACCCCTCGTCGGCTTTCCTCAGCACAAATGAGAGAAATGGTCTCATTTAGTTAATGTGTCCCCTCTTTGCAAAGGATTTGAACTCTAACCTGATCAAACTCTTTATTTAATTATGCAACAAAGTCATACACTCTATCTTTCTCTATAATGCTTTTTAGGACAACATCATCTTCTCGACATTTGGTCTCCATACATCTGTAGTGATCAAGTTCTTGCCACAAGCCTTGAAGGAGAGTGACATATTCAGTCATGATCTGGTTACCTTACTTTGTGCTTATTACATTGACTTTAATTTTGAAGATTTGAGTAGTATCTCAAGCTTTTGAGAAGGTTTACTTGGCAACAGCCCATATGTAGATAGGAACATGAAAGTATTACTAATTTCTGGAGTCATGGAATTTCGTAACCATGATATAATCATGGAATCCATTTCGTCCCATGCCCAAAAATTAGGATCTCCTTTTGGTCCAACCCCAAGGTGGTGATTCATCTTTCATTTTTCTTTCAAATAGGCCTTCACAAATTGACACCATTTCAAGTAATTCTTCCCATTTAAGTGATAGAAATGTTATATATTTTGGTGATCTCCTATTCCTTGGTGCACCATAGAGCGATGAAGGTTATATCAATCAAGCCAGCAAGATGTTGGAAGCAATGAAAGCTGCGTTTGAACAGTAGCCCTCAGGATACCGGTAATGACAATAAAGGTTGGTGGTGCGACAACAATGTAAGTGGATTAATTATCCTTCGAGTTCATCTCTTTCTCGGCTTGTCATTAGCGTATGCACATGGAGACTTTGTCTCCTATTCGATCGGTCCAAGGAGGCGAAGACAAAGCTTCTAGTGGCACGCAGAGAACATATTGCTCGGCTTGATACTCAGACTCTGCTCTTTTGCTTAGTCGACACTACACATCATATATAGGATCGAAGATCGAGCCCGATCCTTCTCTAAATGTTGCCGCTCCCTTGAAAGGAGGTCCTGGTCGCTGTCCATACACACGATCCCGCTTGGTCCAGAGACACAATCTCGTTCGGTCTAGATGCAAGATCTCTCGTCCCGTGCAGTCGTATGCATGCAAGAGGAGGCTCTCGCTCAGCTTCGCTTGGTTCCGCCCTTGATGCAAGATTAGCCCTCCCGCTCGATCTCGTACTCCCTCTTGATAGATGCACGTAAGAGGTAGAAGGACCAATATTCCTCAGAATTTTGGTAGTGAAGGGCGGCGGTGGGAACCTAGCTCAAGGGAGGGCCGACAATGAAGGCATTAAAGTTGAAAATTTTAGAATTCCGGCAAAGGCAATGAAGGTTCTGATATCATGTTAAATTCGGAGAATTGGAGAGGGAAATGCTTAATTTTATTGCACAAAATTATCTCTATTTATATATCTATATAAGATATCTTAATAAAGAAATAAATAACTATAGAATCATGTATAATTGCCCTAATATAATCATTCCTAAATTACCCACCCAAATATGGAAGGAGATCGACATGATCCAGGTGAGCCACCCACGAATCCCCATATTGGCCGTGGGATCATTGGTCAAGGGATGGTTTGGATTTAACACTCCCCTCCCACGGATCCCCATGATTGCCATGGGATCAAGGGTGAAGGGAGGGCTGGGATTTAATAGTTCCTATCTTCACATGTAAATCCGCACCTTAACATTAACATGTTGTACCCCATTTAGTTCAGTGTTTTAGTTGGGAATACTTTTAGCTGTTCTATAGTGGAGAGTAGTTCTAAAATAACGTGAATGCAATTTATGAATTCTTGCGTTTAAATATTTATTTAAATTGGAGTAATTTTATTGTACGAACTCTTAGTTACTAAAGTACTCTATCTCCACATCACTTGAGAGCTGATCTCCTTCTCTTGACTTTTGACACCAAACTATCGTCGAGTATTGACCCTATGTTGGTTCAGAAAAATGATGACAATTCTAAATGATTACCAAGATCTGATGGATATTTTTAAATGTGATTTTATGGAAAACTTTGCTAATCTATTGTATCTGAGATCTATAATAGTTGATATTATTTCATTGGATATAATTGTTGATATTATTTCATTGGAAGCAATAATGACACCTTCCCTACTTAGCCTATGGGACAACATATCATATTAAGTTCTTAATCCCCCCTCTGCTGAATAAAGCTATGCACTTATGCAATTAATGAATGTTCCCTAAAGATTTGATAACTTTTAAAAGGATATGGTATTTAATAATTTGTTTAATTTAGTTTATTAGCTGGTTTATGTTATGAGCTAGTCAATATGTTGCGTAGTTATGAACTATAATTCATGAACTCGTAAATGCTATTATATTTTTCTCTTTGTTTTCAAAATTGTGGTTACATGTTGACTGCGGTTCAATCACTTTGCTGCATAATAATGTCGTGGTGTTTGAAGGAAAACGGGTGAGACTGGATAAATGAATCAAGGGTTAACAGATCAACTATACAATTTTATAAATTTTGGATTTGCTCATGACACTTTTATGACATTGACAGATTGAAATTTCGAAGATGAGATTGATATTCAGATTGTATGGATTAAGGCTGTTTTAAGTATATGGAATAATAAACAAAGTTTAATTTTTTAATATAGTAAGATCTGTTAGGGTTCCTCCGAGAATGATAATAAATATATATTAAAAAGCAATGAGTGCAGCCTTGGAGTTTGGAAGGATGTCTGTATTAATCTGTAACATTATTGCGAGTGCTACTAAAAATCAAAAGAAGTTGATACTTTTCAAATGGTTTGGTTAATTTTGTTTTGGTATTCATTAGCTTTGGTGCTTTCAAAGGTGTTGAGGAAGCTAATTTTGTACTTCTCAACTTTTTTACATTATAGGGAACTGGATGTACTGTACCGTCACCATGCATGCTACAATCTTATATCATGTACCACCACTCTCGAGTCTCTCTCAAAACTGGTATTCTTTCAGCCCTCTTTTGGTATATCGAAAAGCAATGTTAGTTTCTACTTATACATCATAATTTTGTTTCTAAATGTTAAATGTACAGGTTCAGTCACTTCCCAGAATGATTATTATGGATGACATAGGAAAGCAGGTCTGTTTCATAGTTGTTTATATTTGAGCATAATGAAATTTTACTTCTTCAATGAATTTTCATTTATTATGGGAACCATGTAAAGTTGTTGGCATTGCAATTAGCATCATTTTAATCAAATTGATTTACATCCTTATCATTGTGGATCTCAACCATTTAGAATGTATATGATCGTTATAGCAATTATTTTCATTTAGACTCATGAATTCTCATTCCCCATTCATTCTGATGTGAATCAATCATGCGATGAAATGTGAATTGCACTAAAAATTAATAGAAATATTGAATAATAGCTTGCTACCAAAACTTTATGCGTAATCAATTGAAGTTCAAGAATTAGAAGACGAATAATTAAGTAACAACAAGAAATCACAGTCAGAGATTAGAAGGCTTTTCAAAATAACATCAAAACTTCAAGTAATGCGAATAGCTAAAATTAACAAAGCCCCAAATTTAAGGTTTAGATCCTTCACCTTAGGATCCATCATTGAATTTAAAGTGGAGGCTTAGCCGAAAAGGACAGTGAGCAAGCTTAGCGATGCTACGAGTAGACAAGTGATCTTGAGGGGACTCGTCGCCGGGGAGGGAGCCGGATTCGGAGGAGCGGGTGGACGGCCTTCGATGATCCACGTGTAGACAGAGAAGTGGTCGTCGATGGACTCCACTAATGGTGGTAGAATCCTCTCCAAGTATTCCTCGACGGTGTCGTCAAAGTCGAAACCGACGTCGAAGAAAGGTGACCGGAGAATATTGACCCTTCCGCGGTTGTCGTACTCAAACCCGTAATTCCATTCGGGTTCCTCCATACATTCTTGGCGGCAAGGGTGAGCGGTCGTCGCGGGGCGTCCTCAAGGGGATGAGAGGGGCGGCACGGGCGTTGGAGGTGAAACGGCCAAGAGTAATGTGTTGAGAGAGGTTGGGCCAATGGTGGAATCCAAAAGAGAGGTGCAGGAATTTCTGCAGGAAAACTGTTTTTGGAGAGTTAATGGGAGAGATTTAATTTGAAAATCAAATTAAATCAATGAGGGAGAAGGGGCGGCTAAGAGAGAGGGTTTAGGGGCTGAAATTGTGGAGTTAATGGGGTGATTAGGAGAGAGAGAAGAGCCCAAGGAGGGGCCGGCCAAGGGAGAGAAAAGGGGGGGAAGAGGAGATTAAGCAAGTGGGGTCCACACAATTAATCTCAGATTTTATTAAAATCTGAAATTAACAATTCAGTTTTGGATAAAAGAAAGGTTTCCTAACTTAAGCATTTAATTGGATTGAATTTGAATTTGAATTTCAAATCCAATTCCAATTTATTTGATTGCTTAAATTAAGGAGGTGATTTAGGTAACATTAAATGCTAATGAAACCCAAACATTTCAGAATTTTGAAAACTGAAATAGGAGGGAAATAGGGGTGGCGGCTGCAAGGAGGGAGGGGCCGGTGGACTGGAGTGGCCGGCGGCTGCTGGGTGGGGGTTTGGGCCGGCGGGAGGGAGACCTGGCTGGGGCCGGCGGGAGGGGGTTTTGCTGGGACAGGATGGCCAGTGAGGCCGGCGGCTTGGCTGGGACGGGATGGCCAGTGAGGCCGTCGGCTTGGCTGGGCCCAAGGGAGGCGGCACTAGGATGGAGGGGAAGGGAAATTTTGAAGAAATCTGAGAATTTCTTCCAACGATTTCCTCGCCTCGAATTTCTGCTCAACTTCGCCTTCACACTACAAGCATGGATTAAATCTAGAACTCACGGAGAGATCTAGTTCTCCCTTTGAACTCACTAAGAGATCAAAGGGAAATGCACTCACAAAGAGAACAAAGGAGGATAATTTTCATTTCATCCAAAAACTAAAAGATTACAATGCATAATGCCTCATATAAGGAGGCTCAAACTAAAGGAAAAGAAAAGACATAAACGCCCTCGGGGCTACATAAGTCAAACAATGCCCTCAGGGGCAAACTAGGAAAACTAAGAAAAGAATACATGACATAAGCTGTAAAAACTCAAAAAGTAGAGGCTCTGGATCGTAGCCGTCGATTTGCGCCGTCGGCGATGGTTCACGTGTCGAAATCTGATGTCCCCATCACATTCTTGTTAGGTGCTTACATGAGATGCTAAATTGATAAGAAACACTTGTAGATTTCAAGTAAATCCTATCAATATCAGAAAATCGGCTAGAAACTCTTC